CTGACGATATCTAAAATCTGAGTGACAGCTGGAACAATGGCCATAGAAAGAGAAATAAATAAAAAACAGAAATTACTATTATGTGATAAAATCAATTACCCAAATAACAAAAATCACACACCTACTCAAACTTACACCATAACTTTATTATATTTTGTTTTTGCTACTGGAGGGGGGGGGTTCTAACCTATAATTTCAAAGTCTTTTTTTCCAACATATTCTGAGAACTACTATTAATTTGTAATTTTGTTCATGATAAAAAATGGTTAAACATAATTTATTCAACAATAAAACCATACACAAATTATTAATTCTAACTTTGTGTTATATATGCAAGAGGGAGGGAGAAAGAGTAATAAAGCAATTATTCATAAAAAACAAAACACCTTTACTCAATGAATCCTGTTGTCATTTTTTGTTAAACCTAAACATGGTACACTTATTGACAACAGAAGTAAATTTCTTTAGTTCAAGACTTAGACTAATACTTTGGAATTTCTGTACAATAGTCATACTAGTGACCAAGTCCTTTCTTAAGAAGACACAAATTATACATTTAAGAAATACACTTCTTTAATGAATTTTATCAGTTTTAGTAAGAAAAAAAAATCATAATTTACTTTCAAATGCAATGTGTAACTTTATATATAAAGTATCACTTTGTAGCCATAACAGTGGTTGTTTGTGTTTTACTAGCAATACCACTGACTCGCTTTTCATTTCAATAATAGCTAGCAAGTAAGAGTAAATAATTTACCATTCATTAAACACATTCTCGTATCAAACAAGAACTATAAAAACCTTGGATCAGTCAGTAACCTCCTCTTGTTATTTACAAAAATGAAAGCTCAGTTTTGAAAACACAAAAGTACTACAACCCTTACTATAAACATAACCCTTCAACACTACTTGGCTATGGACTTCATCCTGTAAACACTTTTGGATGTGGACCTAACCCTTTCAACACTAGTTGGCTATGGACTTCATCCAGTAAACACTTTTGGATGTAGACCTAACCCTTTCAACACTACTTGGCTATGGACTTCATCCAATAAACACTTTTGGATGTAGACCTAACCCTTTCAACACTACTTGGCTATGGACTTCATCCAGTAAACACTTTTGGATGTAGACCTAACCCTTTCAACACTACTTGGCTATAGATTTCATCCTGTAAACACTTTTGGATGTGGATAACCCCTTCAACACTACTTGGCTAAGGACTTCATCCAGTAAACACTTTTGGATGTGGACCAAACTCCTTTTAATATAATTTGGATGCTACTTGGATATGAACTTTTTTAACATGATTAGGATCTGGACATAACACCTTCAACACTAGTTTATGGACTTAATACCTTCATAATTGCATGAAAAAGAACACTGATAGTCAAATTCAACTTTTATTACACTTGTTAGTCCTAATGGGCTTCCTTACCTCACCATCTTAGGTATTTAATATCACTGCTTAGATCTTATGAAAAAACTGAAACATAAACTAACAGTTCAATGTCTTATTAGGTTTCTAATGGAACCTGATTCTAACATAACTGTTATGAACATATAAGCATTTTAGAATTAAAATTCTCATCAGATTTTCTCTTAATTGTTTTCGTGTGCATGTGTTTAAGCATAAGCTATGCAATGGGTTATCTGCACTGTTGTTATTTAACCTTTATTTCCAGCATTATAAGCTCCCCTCAAGCTTACCACTAAGTCATTGGAGAGGGGAGGGTGGCTTTCTCTTAAAAGTCATATAAAGTTCATACAGTTAAAAAGATTATTTCTTTGCTATTTCAAAGTATGAAAAACTTCTGGCCATTCATTGTCCCAGACACAAAGAAAGATGGAACCATAAATGTGGTTGATTTTAATTTTATTAGTTTTAAAACAGTGTCTCTTTGTGCAGCAGAAGCATTTTAAAATTACCTACTGAATAACTGGATTGTTTTGCAAATTACCACATTGGCAAATCGGTAAGTTAAGAACAATTACACTTACATTAATCAGTTAAATAAACTTATCAAATATAGTCAAAAGCTTAGATTACTTCACGTGTTTGCCATGATGGAATATTTCAAAACTAGTTGAGAAACCAAGTTATATTACATTGATAATTGTCCCCCCACACAAGAAAAACAGAGCATAATTCAAATACAATAATCCATATTTTGAGCCTGCAGAATGAGGTAAAATACAAGGTGTTGTGTGTATGTAGGAAAAGTTACTACAGGCTTACAGATACATAACTTTAAGAAAACAAATGTTTGATTAAAAAAATATATAAAAAGGATGAAATGCATTTTATACAGTTCAGCAGAGAATTCTCAATTTTTTCGTTATTTGATCGCAATATAAACGAGGTACGTACATCATAATTTTATTTTGTGCGGCCTAATCGACACATGGCGGTATAACAATCACCTGAGCATGTTCTCTTGTTTGTTTGTTTATTCTATTCCTGAAATAGTTTAAAGGTTATTGTTACCATTCTTATTAAAAGGAAATTACTTAATTTGTGCACACACTGGCTATGAGAGTAACTTTTGCTGAAAATGGTTAACCCACCCCACGACTTAGTGAGGAAAGGATTCAGATAACAGCTTCTTCTTTCTATCACAGTCAACCCAGACAACGTAACGGTCAGCACAAAGACCCTGAAGACAAGGCTTGCCCTCACCACTTTTAGATGCCGAACTACTTTTTAACTACTGCCTAAACAAACAAGATACGTACACAGCAACTGTATCCTTCCACCTTCGTTTAAAATAGCCTATGGGAAAATTAACGCGTCGGTAACACATCATTTACGGAGACACTCCCCGAGGGTCACGTGACATATTAATAGCAAATCGTCGTAGGCGGTAATTTGGTGTCCTTTGGGCCAGGAGAAGGTAACAGTATCGGAGCAAAGGTGAAGTGTGTGTATGTGATTAAAATAATACTGTTCAAAGGGTTGGGATTAATAAAATATTTCAACATGCTTCCATACTTTAAACATTCAGCCTTGTGCTACAATTGATCGAAATTAATTAATGTTCCTAATTTTTGTTTCAGCTCGTTCATCTTAAAGCAACAGACTGCCCTAACCTACAACAAAAACTACATTTCTTCATACTTCAATTCCAAATACAAACACGTGTAATATATATAGAAAGGAAGACGGGGGGATACCTAAACACGCTGATAGGGGTCCTTAAATTTTTTATTCACATTATATAGAGTATGCTGATAAGCTTCACCGAAGCGTTGGCAACGTTCTTCCCGTACACATCTGTTTAACCCATTCTAGACATTACTCGCTTCTTTGTTTTCTTCCACATAATTTACTACTATCATATTTCTCCACTAGATGGCATGGATTAACAAAATTTATAAGAGCACAAAGAAGGCTGAAACGTCGTATTTTGACAAAACATCACGATGTTTAAGCAAGGTTGTTTTTTTTGCAGACTGATTCTGCCTTGTGTTTGTTGGTGACAACTTTTCTGGCTGAAGTGTTGTTTTCAAATTTTTTTCTATAAAATTGTGAAGCGCGGTCCTAGTGGAGAGCTCAAAAACATGATAATTAAATTTACATAGACTCTTAAACACTATAAACATTTGCCAACCAGTTAAGTTCCACATATAAATTCGAGATGACCTGACTGATAATGAAAATCCCTGTAACGAAATTACACTGCACTACATCTTGTCTCGAGTTCATTCTATGGAACGAGGTCCTGTGATGGAACGCACTAACATCACTAAGACTGAGGTACATAATTATCTGAGTCTACGAACACTATCGTTTTTGAAAGCACTGGAATATGACTCGAGTTCGTTTGGTTTACAAACTTAGAATGCATTTGTTTATCCAAAACACCATAATAGTCTAAACCAAATATTTCTACTAAAAATAAAATTAGAATAATTTTCATTTCGCCTAGCCTTTTTGTGCCAATGAATGCAAGTATTAAAACACAAGATAGAGACAACAGATGTCCCTCTCAAAGATAAGCAACAGCACACTCTTCTCCCTCAGATTAGCGACGTTTATTTCTTCCGTTCAATGGCAGTGAGATCCATACATTGCTTCAACTTTGTAATGTTACATTATGGCCTGTTACAGCACTGTGTAAAGGAAGGAATAAAAAAGCAAATCGCCCATTTTCTTCCCAAAATACATATAAACCATCACTGTAGTCGAATCAGTCATGAAACACACAATTCAGTGCATAAAGAGTGTAAGAAAAAAGTGTTTCAAAAA